ACAGGAGGAATGTCTATTAATTCTGAAAAACATAGGAAGAAAAACAAATGGTGCAGCTAAAAAAAGCCACTAATCTTTAAACTCAACAATAAAGGAAAAGCTTACTATCCACACCTATCAGGCACATAACTTCAGTACCCAGTGAGATTTAAAAATGATTTAAGTCTGAATTCTTATAAATGGCAAGTTTTAATAAAAAACAGTGTAAGAACTGTAACACTGTGATAATGCAGATATTATAAAATGTTTTCTGTATTTGAAACCTACAATTCTCAAAATGAAAGGAGGATTTACATGATCTCTTGAGTAGGACAGCTATAAGTAATCCACTAGCAAGCATTGAATAAGTACGGAGACTGTAGTGGCAGGGTTCAGTAAAATAAATGCAAAACACAGGGTGTAATTTCATTGCAATTTAAACTAGTTATTTAAAATACACGAATGAATATAGACACAATTTGGATATACATGTAGCACAGTTAATAGCTATCAAGAAGGAATAGTTGGAAAGAAGAGAGGTAGGCTCTTCTATCTAGAAAAATCATGAGAAAAATTAACCATAATGTACTAGTAGGCAATTTTCTATAAAGCATTGGAAAGACGTTTATTCTTTTGACAAAGCAGAAAAGGCTGGATGAACTGTACTTCATTCTTGGGGAAAAAATGTTTCATGTCAGATGTATTCATTACTATACTCATATATGCATTTCAAATCTATGGTTCCATGGTTAAAATGACAAATTAATTATTAAGATGTGGTAGCGAATTAATTTATAATTGTTCTGTTTTCCTTCCTATTATCCAATTATCCTAAACCTTCAAATTCTTAACATTTTCCTTTCTTCCTATGCATCACTGCTTGTCACTTTTAAAAATTGATTTATTTTTGTTTATTTAAAAGGCAGAGAGACAGAGACACAGAGCTTCCATCTTCTAGGTCACTCTCCCAAATACCTGCAAAGAGGCAGAGCTAAGCCAAGCTGAAGCCAGAAGCCTAGAACTCAATCTGGGTCTCCAATGTAGACAGCAGGTACCCAACTACTTGAGCCATCACCTGGTGCCTTCCCAGGGTGCAACCTCAAAGGAAGGTGGAATCAGAAGTGAAGCAGAGGGGCCAGCTCTGTGGCATAGTGATAAAGCTGCCACCTGGAGTGCTGGCATCCCATATGGGTGCCAGTTCAGGTCCTGATCCTGCTCCATTTCCAATCCAGCTTTCTGCTGTGGCCTGGGAAAGCAGTGGAAGATGGCCCAAGTCCTTGGGCTCAGACTTGGGCCCCTGCACCCGTGTGGGAAACGCATAAGAAGTTCCTGGCTCCTGGCTTTGGATCAGCACAGCTCTGGCTGTTGTAGCCATCTTGGGGAGTGAACCAGAGGATGGAAGACCTCTCTCTCTCTCTCTCTCTCTGCCTCTGCCTCTCTGTAACTCTACCTTTCAAATAAATAAATAAAATAAATAAGGCTTAAAAAAAAACAGAAGTGAAGCAGAGACTTGAACCCAGGCACTATGACATGGGACATGGGTGTTCCAAACAGAATCTTACCACTGTGCCAAACTTTTGCCTCTAGTCTTCGTTTTCTAAGAACATCTGCTACTTTTATTCGTTGGGTCTTTGAGTTTATTGCCAGGGGAAAAAAGTACACAACAGTGACCTCTGTGAAACCATCTACAAACTATAATGTAATTCAATGCAACTAACAAACATTTGTTAACTTATTCATTACTTATCGAGTGTATGACACTGAAGTGGGTGCTAAAAGATGAACAAGGACAAATAAAATCCAAATATTTTTAAGTTTCAGAGAAGATAATGAATAGCACACAGTTTATTTCATTTATAAAATGAAGATGATATGTACTTCATATGGTTACTTAAAGAAGACAATGTAAGTAAAGGGCCCTGGATAAACACGTGACAAGCAGCAAGTGTTCCTGCAACACCAGACTTGACCTACATCGTAATTCTAAATTTAAAACCCTTGGCATAGCATTAGTATAACCTTTTCTACATACCAGCCCACATGTTAAAAAAAGATAGTTTAAATTATCTATTTATAAAATTATAAACTAGCAATAAGAAACTTTATTGAAGGGGCCGGTGCTGTGGTGTAGCGGGTAAAGCCGCTGCCTACAGTGCCGGCATCCCATTTGGGCGCTGGTTCAAATCCTGGCTGCTCCACTTCCGATCCAGCTCTCTGCTATGGCCTGGGAAAGCAGTAGAAGATGGCCCAAGTCCTTAGGCCGATGCACCTGCGTGGGAGACCCAGAAGGAGCTCTGGCACCTAGCTTCAGATCTGCACAGCTCCAGCCATTGCGGCCAATTGAGGAGTGAACCAGAGGATGGAAGACCTCTCTCTCTCTGCCTCTCCTTCTCTGTGTAATTCTGATTTTCAAATAAATAAATAAATCTTTTTTTAAAAAGAAACTTTATTAAAAACTTCAAATCATAAGACATTCTTTTGGAAATTAAAATATATTTCAAATGTTTTGAAAACAGTTAAAGCATTCTAAAAGCAGCATCACAAGCTTTTTCCTAATATACCAAATAACTAATATATTTAATTTAATGACTACCTGGGAAGCAAACACTAATCATTGACTGATCCATCCATGAGCAGCTGCTTTCAGATTCACAGATGCTTTCTATCCTACAAGTGAAAGTGAGTGTCATGTTTTGCTTTCTATCCTACAAGTGAAAGTGAGTGTCATGTTTTGGTTAGCTGGATGATCCAGTTAATTTGTTTCAATTATTTGGAAACAAAGGAAAAGAAAGGTACATTAGAAACTAGCTTCTGGGGCAGGCATTGTGGTGTAACAGGTTAAGCTGCTGCCTGTAACAGCATCCCATTAGGGTACTGTTTCTGGTCCCAGCTCCTTGCTAATGCACCTAGGAAAGCAGTGAAAGATGGCCCCAAGTCCTTAGGTCCCTGCACCCATGTGGGAGACCCAGAAGAAGCTCCTGGCTCCTGGCTTTTGTCTGGCCCAGCCCCAGCTGTTGTGGCCATTTGGGGAGTGAACCTGCAGATGGAAGATCTGTCTCTCTATCTCTTTCTATCTCTGTAACTCTGCCTTTCAAATAAATAAGTCAATTTAGAGAGAGAGAGAGAGAGAGAGAGAGAGAGAGAGAGAGAGAGAGAAGCTACCTTTTAAGTAGTAGTTGAGCATTGGGTATAGCAGTTAGGACACAGTCTGAGATGCTCACACCCTATATTGGAATTTGAGTCCCATCTCCACTTCTGATTCCAGCTTCCTGTTAAGGCACACTCTGGGGGGCAGGAGGTGATGGCTCAGGGACCTGAGCACCTGACACCTACAGGGGAGACTCAGATTGAGTTCCAGGCTCCTGGCAGAAGCCTGGTCCAGTCTGTTCAAGCCCTAGCTGTTGTGGGCATTTGGGGAGGGAACCAGCAGATGGAAGATCTCTGTCTCTCTCTCTCTCTCTTTCTCCCTCTCTCTCTGACTTCCAAATAAATGAAAATAAAAAGAGATTAAAAAAAAAACTTCCTTAAAAAAAGTCAATAGTAACCCAGCATAAAAATTGGATAAATATATATAATAGGAGCTAGCACTGTGGCATAGCAGGTTAAGCCGCCATCTGCAGCACCGGCATCCCATATGGGCACTGATTTGAGTCCCAGACACTCCACTTCTGATCTTGCTCCCTGCTAATGAGCCTGGGAAAGCTGTGGAAGATGGCCCAAGTGCATGGGCCCTTGCACTCACGGGGAAGACCTGGAAGAAGTTACTGGCTCCTGGATTTGGCCTGGTTCAGCTCCAGTTGTTGTGGCCATCTGGGGAGTGAACCAGAGGATGGATGATCTCTCTTTGTCTCTTTTTGTCTCTCTCTCTCTGTGATTCTGTCAAATATAATATTTTTTTAAAAAGACCCATTAATAAACAGATAACTTCTAAGAAAATTAGAAGTTTTCAATAAATGTAAGATTGTCTATTAAAAATAAATATATATTAAAACAAATATATATAATACCATGCCATTTTTTACTACAAAATTTATAAATAATATCATATATTGACAAATAAATTATGGGGTCTGATGCTGTGGTGTAGTAGGTAAAGCCGAATGATCCACAGAAAGCAGTGGAACATAGCCCAAGTGCTTGTGCCCCTGCACCCATGTGGGAGAGACCCATAAGAAACTCCAGGCTCCTGGCTTCAGATCAGCCAGCTAAACCAGTGAATGGAATGCGTATCTCTCTGCCTCTCAAATAAATAAATCTTAAATAAATTAAAAAAAAATAAAGAAATGGGCCAGCACTGCAGCATGGCGGGTAAAGCTGCTGTCTGCAGTGCCAGCATCCCACAGGTGCGCCAATTCGAGTCCTGGATGCTCCACTTCTGATCCAGCTCCCTGTTAATGGCCTGGGAAAGCAGTAGAAGATGGCTCAAGTGCTTGGGCCCCTGCACCCATGTGGGAGACTCAGAAGAAGCTCCAGGCTCCTGGCTTTGGATCAGCCCAGCTCCGGCCATTTGGGAGTGAACCAGCAGATAGATGGAAAACCTCTCTCTCTGCCTCTCTGAAACTCTGTCTTTCAAATAAAGAAATAAATCTTAAAAAAAAAAGAAAGAAAATGGGCATTCACATATTGTTGGTGGAAATTCAAACTGATGTAGCTTTTCTGATGACCCTTTGGTAATGTGTTTCAAAAGTTTTAAAATAAACCCCTACAGGGGCTGGCGCCATGGCTCACTTGGTTATCCTCCACCTGCAGTGCCGGCATCCGGTATCCCATACGGGCACCGGGTTCTGGTCCCGGTTGCTCCTCTTCCAGTCCAGCTCTCTGCTGTGGCCTGGGAAGGCAGTGGAGGATGGCCCAAGTGCTTGGGCCCCTGCACCTGCATGGGATACCGGGAGGAAGCACCCAGCTCCTGGCTTCGAATCAGTGTAGCTCCATCTGCAGTGGCCATTTGGGGGTTGAACCAATGAAAGAAAGACCTTTCTCTCTCTCTCTCTCTCACTGTCTAACTCTATCTGTCAAATAAAAAAAAAATACCCCTACTTTGACCCTATATTCTTCTTACAGAAACTCATCCTAGGAAAATAATCATGGATATGAAGATAAATAAACTATGAACGTGTTGTATAATTTTCAATAATTAAAGAATGAAAACAACCTAAATGATAGGGGTTTACTATAATTTGATTCACATAATCTTCAGTATACAGTGATTAAAATACTACCACAAAGAGATAAAGGGGATATCAAAATAACAGAGTACCTGTTAAAAAGTCAGAAAGACCTGTATGTGATGAAGACAGAATGATCTATATTATATTGCTGAGAAAAGTGATATGCAGAAAGTTATGAATGGTATGCTCTTACTTTTATAAGAAAAAAAGAAACATATACATATATATTTCATTTGGCATATATCATCTCTGGTAGAATACAGGATTTCCCAGGGGTTAGTTGGGCCAATGTGTATCAGTTTTGTTTATTTTTTCAAAAAACCAGCTCTTTGTTTTGCTGATCTTTTGTAATGTTTTATAGGATTCAATTTTGTTGATTTCTTCTCTAATTTTAATTGTTTCTCTTCTCCTACTAGTTTTGGGTTTAGTTTACTGTAGTTTTCTAGATCCTTTAGATGCATTGATGGCTCATTTATTTGGTACCTTTCCAATTTCTTGATGTAGATGCCTATTGCTATAACTTTCCTCTTAGTACTGCTTTTGCTGTATCCCATAAGTTTGATATGTTGTGTTGTTACCTTCCTTTGCTTCCAGAAAGTTTCTGATTTCTCTTTTGATTTCTTTTATGACTCACTGTTCATTCAGGAGCATGTTGTTCAGTTTCCATGTGTTTGCATATGCTCTAGAGATTCCTGAGTTGCTGGTTTCCAGCTTCACTCATTGTGGTCCAAGAAGATGCATGGTATGATTTCGATTTTTTTTAAGTTTGCTGAGTCTTGCTTTATGGGCTAGTATGTGGTCAGTCCTAGAGAAATTTTCATGCACTGCTGAGAAGAATGTGTATTCTGCAACTGTAGGATGAAAAGTTCTGTAGATATCTGTTAGGTCCATCCCATGGGAAAAAGAACTGAGTATCTAGGGTCAGAGTATGAAACAGAGATTTCTCTGTATACTCTTGTGTACCTTTAACTTTTCTTTTATTTGAGAGGCTAATGGACAGAGACAGAGTGCTCTAGTTTACATCTACTAGTTTACTTCTCAAATGCCTGCAACAGCCAGGATTGGGTCAGGTCAAAGCCAGGAGTCATGAACTCAATCTGAGTCTTTTACATGGATGGCAGGGAATTGAGGACTTGAGCCATCACCTGCTGCCTCTCAAGTGTAGACATCCCAAGTGGTGTCCCAAAGTGCCATTCGCCCATCACAACTGTTGAATTTTGAATCATGTGAATATATTTGCTTTTATAAGTTAAGTAATGTCACAGAGTATTTTTTAAAGGGATGATTTATCAATGACATCTTTTTTAAAAAAAATTATTTATTTATTTTGAAAGGTAGAGTCATAGAGAGGAAGAGGCAGAGAGAAAGAGGTCTTCTATCTGCTGGTTCACTTGCCAGATAGCCTCAACAGCCAGAGCTGTGCCAATCAGAAGCCAGGAGCCACGAGCTTCTTCCAGGTCTCCCACATGGGTACAGGGGCCAAGCAAGCACTTAGGCCATTCTCCACTGCTTTCTCTGGGCACATGATCAGGGAGCTGGATCAGAAGTGGAACAGCCAGGACTTGAACCGGCACCCATATGGGATGCCAGCAATGCAGATGGTGGCTTAACCCACTACACCAGAACACCAGCTCTGAAAATTTACATATTAAAATGTTTATTTATTTTCATCTAACTTAAAGGGGGAGAGAAAGAGAGAGAGCTCTTCCGTCCACTGGTTAATTCCCCAAATACCCACAACAGCTATGGCTGAGCCTGGCTGAAGCCAGGAGCCTAGAACTCCATCTGTATCTCCCATGTTGATGGCAACATCATCTGCTTGAACCATCATCTGCTGCCTCCCAGATGTATTAGCAGGAAGCTAGAACAGAGGCAAAGCAGTAGGGACTCAAACTAGCACTCAGATAAAAGATGTGGGCATCCCAAGTGGCTGATAACCCACTGTAATACAATGACCACCCCTAAAATTTACATTTTTGATTGGCAACTTCTTACTGTTTAATGTAAGTATTTAATGCTATAAATTTCCTCATAAGCACTATTTTTACCACATCTCATAAATTTTGATATATTAGCTTTCATTTTAATTCCATTTAAATGTTTCCTAATTTCCCTTGAAACTTCTTTTTCAACAGAATGTTGTGTGATTTCCAAGTATTTAGGGAGTTTTCCAGATCTCTTCTTGTAACTGCTTTAAAATTTAATTTTCTTATTGCCAGAGGCTATACCTTGTCTCTTTTATATTTTTTTAAAGTTCATTTCTATTTACTTAAAAGGAAGAACAATAGAGACAATAATGGAGGGGGGGAGGAAGGGAAGGAGGGAGGGAAAAGGGAGAGAGAGAGAGAAAGAAAGAAAGAAATCTTCCATCCATTGGTTCCCTCCCCAAATGCCTAGAACTCCATCCTGGCCTACCAAATGTGTGGCAGGGACCCAAGTGTTTGGGTCATCACTTGCTATTTCCCAAGATATACATTAGCAGGAAGCTGGATCTTAATTAGACATGTGAATTGATCCCAGGCATCCAGTATGGGATGCAGCTTGACCTACTGAGCCACTGTGCCATAATGCCCGCCTGCTCCCTTTTACCTTTGTTAAGATTTATGACTCAGGGGGCCGGCGCTGTGGCGCAGCAGGTTAACACCCTGGCCAGAAGCACCGGCATCCCATATGGGTGCCAGTTCGAGACCTGGCTGCTCCACTTCCGATCCAGCTCTCTGCTATAACCTGGGAAAGCAGTAGAAGAAGGCCCAAGTCCTTGGGCCCCTGCACCCAAGTGGGAGACCCGGAAGAAGTTTCTGGCTCCTGGCTTCAGATCACAGCTCCAGCCATTGCCGCTATGTGGGGAGTGAACCAACGGATGGAAGACTTCTCTCTCTCTCTCTGCTTCTCCTCTCTGTGTAACTTTGACTTTCAAATGAATAAATCTTTTAAAAAAATGACAAAAATAAAGAAACAAGTCAATTTCACAAACATAATTCAATTTTTTTGTATTCCTTTCTCAGTAATATATAAAGCATGAAAAAAAAATCAGTAAAGACATTGATGATCACAACCAACATCTTGACCTCACTGATATTTATAAAACACCATTCCTAGCAACTGTAAAAGATGTATGACAGTATGTCAAAAAGTTCATGGAAAATGCATTATGGAAACACTATGCATGGATTTCAAGTTTTTTCATGCCAAAATGAACTTATCTTTTAATTCCATTTTTCTACCAATTTTTGAAGCATCTTCATATTCTATATGCCAAGATAGATCACATGCTAGAGGCCATAACACATCTCAGTGAGTTCAAAAAGAAATCAATAATAAGATGTCTAGGAAATCCCCAGATATTGAAATTAACAACACACTTCTAGAATAATCCATGAATCAGAAAAGAAATCACAAAGAAAATTTAAAAATGCTTCAAACTCAATGATTATAAAAATGCATAATATGAGTTTATTAAGATGGAATATACTCAGTATTGATCTATTATTATTTTAAAATACAAACTATTTTGGGGCCGGCACCGTGGCTCATTTGGTTAATCCTCCACCTGCGGCGCCAGCATCCCATATGGGCACCCAGGTTCTAGTCCTGGTTGCTCCTCTTCCAGTACAGATCACTGCTGTGGCCCGGGAGGGCAGTGGAGAATGGCCCAAGTGCTTGGGCCCTGCACCAGCATGGGAGACCAGGAGGAAGCACCTGGCTCCTGGCTTTGGATCGGCATAGCTCCAGCCGTAGCGGCCATTTGAGGGGTGAACCAACAGAAGGAAGACCTTTCTCTCTGTCTCTCTCACTGTCTAACTCTGCCTGTCAAATAAATAAATAAAATACATACTATCTTTACATACACAAAAATATGACTACAAAAAATGTGTGCTAATAATGTATTTTATTTTTCCAATTAAAAATGAGGAATGCTGGGGCAGGCATTTGGTTCAGTGGTTAAGACACGGGTAACCACATCCTATATTGGAGTGTCTAGGTTTGAGTGCCAGCTCTAATCTCAATTCCAGCTTCCTGCTAATGGGCACTCTGAGTGACTGCAGCTCAAGTAGTTGAGTCCCTGAAAACCAAATGGGGGACTCAGATTAAGTTATGAGCTCTTGGCTTGGGCATGGCCCAGCCCTGGCTGTTGTGGTCATCTAGAAAGTAAACCAGTGGATGAAAGATCTCTATTACTTTCTCTCTTTGTCTCTCTGCCTTTCAAACAAAAAAAATTTTTTTAAGATTTCATTTATTTATTTGAGAGGTAGAGTTACAGACAGTGAGAGGGAGAGACAGAGAAAAAGGTCTTCCTTCTGTTGGTTCACTCCCCAAATGGCCAGAGCTATGCAGATCCGAAGCCAGAAGCCAGGTTTTTCTTCCTGGTCTCCCACACAGGTGCAGGGGCCCAAGCACTTGGGCCATCTTCTACTGCTTTCCCAGACCTCAGCAGAGAGCTGGATTGGAAGAGGAGCAGCCAGGACTAAAACTGGCGACCATATGGGTTGCCGGCACACAGGCAGAAGATTAACCTACTGTGCCACGGTTCAGGCCCCTCAAACAAAAAATTAAAATAGGGACCAGCATTTGTGGAACAATGGGTTAAGCCATCAATTATGTAGCCTGCATTCCATATTGGAGTGTTGGATCAAGTCCTGGCTGCTCCTCTTCCAATCCAGATTCCTGTTAATGTGCCTGGGAAAGCAATGGATAATGGCCCATTGTACTTGCATCCTTGCCACTCACATGGGAGACCCAGGTGGAATTCCTGCCTCCTGGCCTTGGCCTCATCCAGCCGTGGCTTTTGTGGGCATTTGCAAAGTAAATCAGTGGATGGAAGATCACCCTCTCTCTGTCTCCCTGTCTGTCCTCTGTCAATCTGCCTCTCAAAAAAAGAAATCTTTTTAAAAATGAAAATTAGAAAAATGTTTGAATGTTAACTAAATGCTGAGTATTCCTTATGAGTGATTTTTTTCTTTTTTGTCTAAATGGATTTTCCAAATGTTTGATTTTTGAGCATTTGGCATTTTTGGTTCAATGATTTTTTAAAATTAATTAATTTATTTATTTGAAAGGCAGAGAGACATGGTGCGGGATGAAGGAAGGCATGCATAGAGAGAGATCTTTTATCACTGGTTCACTCCCCATATGGCCACAACAGCCAGGGCTGGTCCAGGCCAAAGCCAGGAGACTGGAACTCCATTCTGGTCTCCCAAGTGGGTAGTGATGGTCTGTGTATTCGGGCCATCTGCTGCTGCTTTCCCAGGAGCATTAGCAGGAACCTGGATCAGAAGTAGAGCAGCTGAGACACAAACTGGCACTCTGATAGGGGATGCCAGCATTGCAGGCAGTGTCTTAATCCAATGCCAGGCCCCAGTGACTGTATTTTTCACTTTACAATTTCTATGCATTTTAGAATTTTCAAATTAATCTGCTTTTTAATAACGACCTACTCATTTTATGGATTTCATTCATTCCTCTATATCTTCAAATACTCATTTTAAATGTTCATTATAGAAAACTTCAAATATATAAAAATTTAGAAACATTGTATAATGAACCCTCAAATATTCATCACAGTATCAACAGTTATCAAATTCCCCTACCAAATGATTTTAAACAAATCTTAGTCATATAATTTCATCCATATTTCAGTATATATTTTTAAAAATATAATTTTTATAAATATAACCAAAATTCAATGATCATATCTGAGTTTTTAATAATTCCTTAATATTATTAAATACCTTTGAAAATTTTAATCAGACTGTGTTAAAACTCTTTCAGCTGGCTCTACCTGTCCTTTTGGTCTGAATTTCCTGAACCCAAGAATTATTTCTCTCTTGGCACTGAATTTGCTACTCTGTTTATAATTTATTTTTCTGTGAAATCATCTTCAAAGGAAATTTCTTCTCTTTTTTAAAGATTTACTTATTTATATGAAAGGCAGAGTTACAGAGAGACAGGGAAAGACAAAAAAGAGAGAGGGATCTTCCATTTGCTGGTTTGCTCTCCAAATGGCCACAATAGCCAGGGCTGGGCCAGGCCAAAACCAGAAGCCAGGAGCTTCATCCAGGTCTTTCATGTGGTTGGCAGGGGTCCAAGTACTTGAGCCATCTTCCACTGCCTTCCCAGGTGCATTAGCAGGAAGCTGGATTAGAAGTGGAGCACCCTAGACTTGATCCAGTGCCCATATGGGATTCTGGTGTCACAGGCAGAAGAAGCCTAACCTGCCACACCACAATGCTGGCCCAGGAAATTATCTTCTATGAAAATTTTGGCAGGTCATGACTCAGGGAAACCTCCATATGGGTGGATTTTTTCAAATTAATTAATTTAATTGAAAGAGTTTCAGAAAGAAAGAGAGACAGAGAAAGAAAGAGATTATCTTCTATATAGTGGTTCACTCCCCAAATGGCCACAATGGCTGGGGATGGGCCAGGCCAAATCCAGGAGCCAGGAGCTTCTTCCATAGGGCCCAAATACTTGGGTCATCTTCTACTGCCTTTCACATTAAGAGGGAGCTGAATTGGAAGTGGAGCAGCTAGGACTGAACCAGCACCCATATAGGATGCTGGCATCACAGGTGGCAGCTTAACCTGCTATGCCACAACACTGGCCCTAATAAATAAATATTTAAATATAATTTTTTGTACCATGATAAACTTTTAATTCCATCTTTCTAGGAATTGTTTGAGGGCCTCTCATATATCTTTAACGTTTAAGTATTTTCTTAATGTTTCTAAAGTTTTGAAAGAGAATGGAGAAATTCTTCTATCTTCTCCATTTGCCTTCTCAGCCAGAAGTTCTAGATAACTTCTGTAGTAAGAAGATAGCCAATAAGAGTACTATCCAAAAATAAAAAGATAAGAGCAACAGCAGCAATCAAAGAAGTCTTTCTCCATGTTTCACTGAATTCTGAGCAAAAAAGTAATCTGAATTTTGTTTTAAACAAATTAATAAGAACTAAAAAATAGTGAGAATTCAGAATTTAAACTTGACTTTTAAAATGAATATTACCCTCTCACAGCTGTGTAATAGTTCACCCACCTCAAAAATAGCTTACAATATCATAATATTTTCAGTTTTAATAAAAACTATATTAAGTATATTTCCTCAAAACAGAATTCATCACTCCTACAATGTATCTACATGAAATGTAATCTGTCACTCTGATATTATTTAAATGATAAAATTACCTTTGTGTTTATTCAGCAGCTTGTAGCCTTCACAGTATCTGTTTGATGAAGTCATCATCTTGGCTGTGTCAAGGTAAGAGTACACTGCAGCAAAATCAAACTCCTTCTTACCATCCCACCAGCTTTTCTGCTTAGCATAGTTTTTCATGTCTGGATGCTCCCGATTAATTTTGGTTGTTATAGAAAGTTGATTAGAAATATTACGAACTCCTTCTATTTTCAAAGAAGAAGAGGGGCAAGAAAAAGCAAAGTTATATTTAACATAAAGTAGCTACACGTTCTTTCTTAATCACTATTTAAATGTAAATATAGACAAATGCCTCACTTAAAAAATGAGAGGAATCTACAAAGATACTTCAAAAAGTTCATGCAAAAATACAGTCAAAAAATAATGTGTTATTGGGTATTTGGTACAGCAATCAAGATGCTGCTTGGGATGCCAGCATCCCATATTAGAGTGCCTGGGTTTGAAGCGCTGGCTTCACTTCCAATCCAGCTTCCTGCTAATGCACACCATGGGAAGAAGAAAGAAATGGCTCAAGTACTTGAGTTCCTGCCATTCATGTGGGAGACAGGGATTGAGTTCTAGTCTCCCTGATTTGGCATGGCCCAGAACTGGCTGTAATGGGCATTTGGGGAGTGAACTATTACCTCACTGTATCTACCTTTCAAAATTAAAAAAAAAAAAAAAAAAGTAATGTGCATCTCAATGAACTTTTAAAATTATCATCACATGAACAAAACCACAGGAAAGAAAGAGCAAAGAATTCTAAAACAATCAAATTGTATTGTTTAGTTTCACATAATATAATACTGGAGTTTAACTCAATGTTAGAAGAAATGCTAATGAGGTTTTATTTTTATTTTTTTGACAGGCAGAGTTAGTGTGAGAGACAGAAAGAAATGCTAATAAGTTTTTAAGGTTATTTATCTATTTATTTGAAAGTCAGAGTCACAGAGAAAGAGGGAGACACAGAGTGAGCTTCCATCCACTGGCTTACTCTCCAGGTGGCTGCAACGGCAGGGACAGGCCAAAGCCAGTAGCCAGGAACTTATTCTGGGTCTCCCACAAGGCTGTCATGGGACCAAGTACTTTGGCAATCCTCTACCACTTTAACCAGGCCATTAGCAGGGAGCTGGATTAGAAATGGGGCAGCCAGGACATGAACCGGCGCCCATATGGGATGCCAGCATCACAGACGGAGGCTTTGCCCACAATGCCGGCCCCAGTAATGAGTTATTTAAAAGTGAAAAAATACTGTAAAACAGCCCAAAGCTATTGCACAGAACGTATATACAGATAACACGAAATTCATGTTCCCAGAGATAACACTTCTTTTTTATCTTTGAAAGCTCTTAATAGTGCTCTTTCACTCCAAATCAACCCCTCACTGCACTGGATTCTAAATTTTAGAAGATAATTAGATGTAATATTTACTGTTGAGACTATATTTTATTAATTCTAAAGCAAATTAAATCATGAAGAGCTGTCCATACCTTGCACTTTTTCTGCTGCCCAGTACCTCCCTGCAGTCTCCAGAATCCAGGCTTCAGTCCTATCAGCTATCAGGAAACTGTTGTGATAGCTGAATTCCATCGTACCCTCTGTACAATTTCCACCCTGGCCATATTTTTCTAATAAGTCAACAATGACATTGAGGGCTTTTTCAGCTGTATCAGCTCTCTCAAGGCCAAGTCTAAAATAAACATGTTAAAGTTTTTAGATTAAATTTCCTTTCTTTTTCTTTGAAAAATTTCATGTGTGTAAGATTTTATGTCTACATGCAAAGTAAAAATTTTTTCAAGTTAACAGAAAAAATGAAATTACTTTTAAACTTTTGCTTTTGAAGTTACTTTGGAACCGTGAAGTCAAATAGATGTATGTTCAAATTTCAACTTACTAACTTATTTGCAAGTTATTTATCTCTGACCCTTAGGTATCTCATTTATAAAATGAGGATAATAACATATACCATATAAAAGTATTGTGGGAATTAGCTAAGGGATGATAAAGTATATTAGGTATTTTTAGTAAATTATAATTTCTAACTCGTTCCTTTCTCCCAATTAATGAGATTTGAGAGTCATAAAGCTGTAACTGGTAGTCCGAAGCATATGTGACCCACGCCACAAAGTATCAAAATCCAAAAATAGGAAAATAAAACAGGTAAAAATTATGCTAAAATTTAAATTGAGACACATTCTATAGTGCAAAAATGTAATAGAAAAATAACCTGACAAGGTCCATGCCCAGTAGTGCTTCTTCATCACAAACTGCTTCTCTTCCCCATACAGCTTCATTCCCAATGCAAACTCCATGCTCATTGGCCCCCATTTCTGCCCCCCACAACCAAGCTGGGCGACTAAGGACAACAGCATACGTTTCAGGGACTTGATCAATTTCTATATAAGTACACTGAAAAAAAAAAAAAAAAAGTCACAGCAACAAACACAAAACCAAAAACAGAAAAGCTACCAAAGTCCAGAATTTAAAATTAACCATAAGATATGACCATTATGAAAGAGGCAAATGAAATACTTGTATAACCAAATTAAAAATTTCAATAATGACATTACTTAAAAGATATTCAGAATTAACTCAAATATTTGCTGAGCATCTCTTATTATAAAGCACTCTCCTGAGTCAGTTACAAAAATCAATATAAATTTTGCTTTCAAGAAACTAAGACTTCCACATTAACGAAGATACAACAAAAAATCAAGTAAAAGGGCTATGAAGAGAATGAAGATGAGGTGCCATGGAAGCTCAGAAAGATGAAATCTAGTTGTGAAATCTGAAAACATTGCTGTAGAGGGAAATGTATGTGCACTGAAGTTTAACGAAGCAGCTTTCAATGTCCTAAATGTCTTGATTAGTGATAAAAGTACATGTGTGGCATCCCTTAATACAGGAGTATTGCCACAGAAACTCAAGTTACAAGTGGAAGTCACCCATCAAGTTTGTTGACAGTAGGAAAAGGAATGAGAACCATGATTATAAGATAGCATAGATGGGTAAAGAGATAAAGTAGAAATGAGATGAACAGTCTCAGCAAAGGAAAAAAATATGGGGGCCCGGGTTGTGGCGTAGCGGCTAAAGCCATCAGTTGCGATGCTGGCATCTTATAGAGGCACTAGTTTGAGTCCTAGCTGCTCCACTTCCAAGTTATTTCTCTGCTAATGCACCTGGGAAATAGCTGGAGGATTACCCAAGCACTTAAGCCATTGCACCCATGTGGGAGACCTGGAAGAAGCCCCTGGCTCCTGGCTTTGGCCTGTCCCAGCCCTGGCAGTTGCAGCCATTTGGGGAGTGAACCAGCAGATGGAAGATCTCTCTCTCCCTCTCTGTCTCACCCTGTCTCTGTAACTGTGCCTTTCAAATAAATAAATCTTTTTAAAAAAAATAAGACCCAATACACAGATAGCATCTAGTGTTTAAATATTAGAATAGCAGTAAAATAAAATCCAAAAAGTATGTAAATTAGGGGACTGGCACTGTGGCATAGCGGGTAAAGCTGCCACCTGCAGTACCTAGCCATAAAAACACAATATGAAACTCTCATTTAAAGTTCCATGTTAAATGAGTTTTATACATATATTTTAAAGGATCCTTTATGTAATGTGTATACTAGCATGTAACTGCATAAAATTCATGTAGAAGGTGTTATTGTGGTGCCCAATAAATTTTTTATTTATTTTAGAGGCAGAGAAGAAGCTCTCATCTGCTAGTTCATTCCCCAAACGCCTGCAACAGCTGAGGCTTGGCTAGGACCAAAGCTGGGAGCTGGAAACTCAAGCCAGGTCTCCTCTGTGGGCAGCAAAAACCTAGTCACTTGAGCCATCACAGCTGCCTGCCAGGATTTGCTTTGGCAGGAAGCTGGTGTCAGGAGCTAGAGCCAGGTATGGAACCCAGGTCAATGATAAGACACATGGGCATTTTAATCACCAGGCTAAATGCCTGCCCCAACTTTTTTTTTTTAAGACTTATTTATTTATTTAGAAAGTCAGAGCTACAGATAAAGAAAGACAGAGAAAGAGATCTTCCATCCTCTGATTCAATCCCTAGATGGCTTCAATGACTAGTGCAGGGCCAAGCCAAGGCTAGGAGCCAGGAACTGCATCCAGGTCTCCCGCTTGGAGCATCCTCTGCTGCTTTTCCCAGGCCATTAGCAGGGAGCTGGATTAGAAGTGGAGCAGCTGGGACACAAACCAGCTCCCCTATGGGATGCCAGCGTCAAAGGCAGCAGCTTTACACACTGCAACACAATGCCAGTCTCCTGCCCCAACGTTTTTGATGTGTCAGAAAACTTTTTCTCAGAGCCTGGAAAAACTTTTCATATTCTACACAAATCAGGACCACTTTTGTCTATCAAACACCAACGGAAACCCCCAATTCCTAGTGAAGTCTTCCATGATCCTTAGGTTGAACTCAATGTTCTTCCTCTGCCACCACACCATACTCATCTTATCTAACTTCAGCATTTAAAACATCATGTTTTATAGTGTGGGTACCTGCATACACATCCTATTCCTATACAAGAGCCTAAGCTCAGGTAGGGTGGGAAGTATCATTATGCTCTTAAAACTGTATATATATGGGGCCAGCGCTACGACACAGTGGGTTAAAGCCCCAGCCTGAAGTGCCAGCATCCCATATGGGCGCCAGTTCTGGTCCTAAATGCTCTTCTTTTGATCCAACTCTCTACTATGGCCTGGGAAAGCAGTAGAAGATGACCCAAGTCCTTGAGCCCCTGCATCCAGGTGGGAGACCTGGAAGAAGCTCCTGGCTCCTGGCTTCAGATTGGACCAGCTCTGGCCATTGTGGCCATTTGGGGATTGAGCCAGGGGATGAAAAACCTCTCTCTCTCTCTCTCTGTCTTTAAAATAAATAAAAATTAAAATTAAAAAAACTGTATACATGAAATTTGTTCCCTTTATATAAATTTTTTAAAGGAAAAAAAAAGAAAGAAAAAGAGTCTAAGGTTTTGAAAGGCAGAATCTGAATCCTGACAGCTGCCTTCAAATCCCTTGCTCTATCTAACATGCTAACATACGGAAAACATTCAAATATTTGATCAAGGACTTAACAATTTCTATTATTATTTCAACTTCCTCAAAATCATTGAAATAAGTGACTAGATTATTTCTGATTCAAAGTATTTTCTAATTCAAATTTGTAACTTCAACAGTCTCTGCCAAATTGATAGCAACTATCTGTGGTATTTTCAAAGAAGCATATGCTAACAAAATGTGTATTTCACCCACCTTAAGATGTTCTCCAAGGTTATGAACTGCAGAAGGAAAATAAATTACTTCTTGCACTTCATCACAGAGTCTATCTGAATTTTTTCCAAAAATAATCCTGTTACCAACTGTTGCTGGAGGCAACGCCACAAAAGTGTCACAGGAACAAGGCTGCATTTTGTAAAATCTAGAAGTTTCAAAATAAAATGAGAAACATTTTTAAGTATAAATAAAACAAATAGCTCTACTCTATGGCCAAGGGATATCATAGCAAAAGCTAATAAAGAGTGCTCATTAAAGTTTTTTTATGTTGTAGTACAAAAATAAGTAAGAGTATGACTTGAGTATCAATCATGTTCTAAAAGAATCAACAAGAAAATGATGAGAACTATCTTCTTCTAATCTACATGTCAAGTTTACTAAGATTTTTTCCACACAAGAATTCCCTGAATTTCTTTTCACTATTTCCATTATTTTTGGAGTCCCTGTACCTGGTTCTACTGTTGTAAAGTATATACTCTACTCTATTTGTGTGTATGTATATATACACATATATATGTATATATATATGTGTGTGTATATATATATATATATATATCCTGCTTACTGGATAGTGAGCTCCTTGCGGGCTGGAAGTATATTTTATTAACCTTTGCATTCGCATTTTCATCTCTGGAACTTATCTTTTTTAAAGGATTTATCTTACTTATTTGAAGAGAGAAGGGGAGAGAGAGAGAAAGATCTTCCATATGCTAGTTTACTCCACAAATGGCCACAACAGCTGGGGCAGGGCCAGGCCAAAGCCAAGATCGCAGACCTCAGTTAGGATCTCCCATGTGGGTGGCAGGGGCCCGTCTCTATCTGAGTGCTGGTTTGAGTCTTAGCTGCTCTGCTTCGGATCCAGGAAAGCAGTGGAAGATGGCTCAAGTACTTGGGCCCCTGCACCCTCCTGGGAGACCCAGATGAAGCTCTTGGCTCCTGGCTGTGGCTTGGCCCAGCCCAGCCCAGGCATGAGGCCATTTCCAGGGTGAACTAGCAGATGAAAGATGTCTCTTCTCTCTGTCACTCTACCTTTCAAATAAATAAAAAATAAATCTTTAAATAAATAATGACTCAAGAAACGACTTCAACTAAAACTCTCTTCTCAGTGATGGAAGTTCTCCTTTGTTTCTGTGCTTTTCTTTGTGTATTTCAACCTTTATGTCCTGCGTTTCCTTCTAATTGTGGTCCAAAGTTAGTCCCATCACTCTATGAGCTTAGTAGGTCCTTTAATCCCTCTCTCTATGCTTCCTCCCTCATTGGTAAAATAAGATACTCTCTTATGGGGCTGTTACGAGAATTTAGTAAGACAACATGTAAAGCGTTTTTGCACAGTCAAGGAACGTGGCGGACACTTAAAGCTGTCACAGTTATTACTTGGCAGAGGAGTAAATTTCTCACAAAAGCCTTATTCTTAAGTCCCTCCCACTAGAGGCCTTGGGTGGTGAGGCAGCTACAGCGGTGGCAGCCCAGTCCACACAAAGCCCTTTAGTCCCTGCGCTAACCGGGGTCGTCGGGGAAGCTAAGGAAACTTAGAATGGCACGGAACTCCGCGGAGAAGGCGAAGCCTTAACAACCTTTACTACCTTCTAACCGTATTCATCGTTCAACAAACGTCTATTGAACATTCTTCAGCACCAGGCGCCGCACAGTTGGGAACAACTGGGAACAAAAGCATCCCCCCACCCCCGCTTCTGGGGAGCTGACAGCCTTATTTTAGAGGTGTAATCCACCAAGCGCTTTCTGAAACGTGACAGGGTTAGAACCTCACAAACTCTCCACAGTTAGGGCGACAACTGCCGTCTGCACAACACAGGAGAAAACCGGCGCAGGAAAGTTTCCGCAACTCAAGTTCCCAGAAAGTAACGGGATCAAACTCCAAGCAGCGCTGGCAGAAGCAGTCACCCTGCACCTCGCGCCGGAACCGCAGCCGGCGGGATGCAATCCGCCCCTGGCGCAGCTGGGCTCGGAGCCTCGCCCGTGGGCCCCTCGCCCCGGCAGGTCGCGCCGCGGTTCGCCCTTCCTCGTTCCCACCTCAACTCTGCACGCCGCCCCCCGTGCACGCCCCTCCCCCGGCCTCCGAGCTACCTGAAGTGACAGGGGAAAGTGGCGAGGGAAAGCGGCTCGCTGCCGGAAGCTGCCACCTTTGACCTCGGAAGTTGCTGCTGCGGCCGGGGTGCAGTTCCGGTTAGGCGGCTGAGTTTGTTTACGCTGCTCTCGGGTTTGGAGGCTGCCGCCTTCTGCTCCGACTGCAAGATGGGGAAATCCTTCGCCAACTTTATGTGCAAAAAGGACTTTCATCCTGCCTCCAAATCCAATATTAAAAAAGTGAGTAAAGCGACCCGCGGAGGGATCTGGCTCATCGCTTCTGGGTCCCCGGGGGTTGCTTGAGGTGCGGTTTAGTGACGGTGTCCGTGTGATCCCCGGGAAGATCGCCGTTCCTGGATCATCTCCAGGCCTGAACCTGTGTGCTGTCGTCCCTTCTCCGCGGAGTATCTCACTGACGAAGCGATCCTTAATATTTATTTCTCATCCGCGGAGAACCGGGGAACCTAGTGGGCTCTGTCGCCTCTGTCAGAAAGTAAAGTCATAAAATGTGGAGATCGATATTAGAATTTCTTAGTGTTTCCCTCAGCTTTTGTCTTTTCTGGTCCCAGAGTTCACGACTCCTCAACTCTGGTTTCCTCTAAAATTCCCTGTTTAAGAGAGATCTTAAGAGAAATTAACTTGTTTCCACTCTACATCTCATCCAATAATGTAGTGTATTTTTGATGACCTCGATTGAATTTAGCGTTTTAAGTAATTAATTTCAAGTCTGCTGGATGCAGGGTCGGATACTATGGCAGTGCAAAAATAGTGGGGAAGTAGAGTCTGAGTTAGACTCAGATTCCAGTTACTCCAGCACAGCTCCTGTTAGCCCTGAGACTTTGCACCTTTCTCAAAATACTTAATATCTAATCCTCAGTTTCCTAATCTGTAAATTAAGGAAAACCAGTATCGATTTCCGTGACTTGTGAAATTGCTGTGAGAATTAGTGAGGTTGTGCAGGTAAAAGGATTTGAAACAAAGAGGGCACTTAACCCTGTGTCCAGCTCAACAAAATGTTGATTGCCTGTACATACAAACTTGTGAAATGAACTAGCTTTTCGTTGTTTTTGAAACCACGTTGGCCGGCGCCATGGCTCACTAGGCTAATCCTCCAACTGCGGCGCTGGCACAACGGGTTCTAGTCCCGGTCGGGGCGCCAGATTCTGTCCCGGTTACTCTTCTTCCAGGCCAGTTCTCTGCTGTGGCCCTGGAGTGCAGTGGAGGATGGCCCAGGTGCTTGGGCCCTGCACCCCATGGGAGACCAGGAAAAGCACCTGGCTCCTGGCTTCAGATTGGCACAGCGCGCCGGCCGCAACGCACTGGCACTGACTGTAGCGGCCACTTGGGGGGTGAACCAACAGAAAAAGGAAGACCTTTCTCTCTGTCTCTCTCTCACTGTCTAACTCTGCCTATCAAAAAAAAAAAAAAGTTAAAAAAAAAAAACACAACTCAAGTATAGGGACCCATGTTTTTGGCTTAGCCAGTGAAACTGTCGCCTGCAATGCCAGCATACTAGGTGAGCACAGGTTGCTCTACTTCAGATCCAGTTCCCTGCTAATGGTCTGCGAAAAGCAGTGTCAAAATGGCCTGAATACTTGGGCCCCTGCACCCACAGGGAAGAAACTCCTAGCTTCCGCCTCGCTGTTGTGGCCATCTGGGGAGTGAACCAGTGGATGGAAGATCTCTCTCTCTCTCTGTAACTTTGACTTTCAAATAAATTTAAAAAGAAAATAAACTCAACTATACTGAGTTATATTTAATTTTTATATGTAAAACAATCCCATTTATTTAAAAAAGAATGTTGTGTATATTCTCTTACTTATATATGCATTAGAACATGCTTATTTATTTATTTGAAAGAGTTACAGAAAGAGAGATCTTCCATCCGCTGGTTCACTCCCCAAATGGCTGAAATGGCCAGAGCCAGGCTGAGCTGAAGCCAGGAGTCAAGAGCTTCTTCTGGGTCTCGCATGTGGGTGCAAGTAGTTGGGCCCTCTTCTGTTGCTTTCCCAGGCACATTAGCAGGGAGATGGATCAGAAGTGGAGTAGCTGGGACTTGAACCAGTGCCTGTATGTGATACTTTACTCACCACACCACAGCATGGGCCCCTAGAACTTCTTTGAAAAGATATATAACAAAGGGAGTGGCATTCAAGGCTCTTGTTTAGCCCTACATGTGCCCTATGCTGAAGAGTTACCTAGATGAGACAAATTCTTTTAGAGAGATTCTTGTTCTGTTCTCTGAAATAACCTAGGGACTGAATTCAGAGTGGATCTCAAGTTTGACATTTTTGCCTGACAGTTCAGCTATTTTTAATGCTATCAAGATACAAATCAGATTTTTCAAGTATTATCTTGTGATGATGTCATTATGACTAAATTGGATTATGTTGTAAACTATAAATGATAGCATTTTATACTTACTGTAATATAAAACTTCCTTAAGTATTTAAATACAACTATTTATTTTTTTTACTTTACTAATTTAGGTATGGATGGCAGAACAGAAAATATCATATGACAAGAAGAAACAAGAAGAATTGATGCAACAGTATCTTAAAGAACAAGAATCGTATGATAATAGGTATGAAATTCCATTTTGCCAGTGTTTTTAAAATAATGAATTATGTGAGAAGAATCCCTTACTGAATCATGTATTAATTCAGTTTTTTGGAGTTGAATGCCCCAGTGATAGGAGTCTGTTCTTTTTTTGTGAACTGTCTTCTGTCGCTCCCCTCTTCATGGAGGAACGACACTAAACCCTGCCTAGGCTTCATATCCGAGTCACGGCACCATTATGTTGCTCCCCCTCTTCGCAGAGGAATGACACAGGACCCTGCGCTGTTCTTTTGTCTGCTCGGCCCTCCCTGGGTTTGCTGCTGGTTCTTCCCGGGTTGGCTACCGACCCTTCCACCTCCGTGGAAGGGTGGTTCCCCCTGCCACTTTCCCCACTTCTGCGGTGTGCCGGCGCCGCAGACTGGGGAATTAGCCTAGTGAGCCGCGGCGCTGGCCTCCATCTGTAATTTCATATCTTTGAAGTGTTCATTGCCTACCTGGAAGTTGCAGCTCTCTCTGTGTCTGTTATGCGTGAAAGAAGGAAGCAGGCAGATGCAGACTTCTATAGACATTATGATTCCATGAAAGACTTTGAGGAGATATTTTTTAAAGATTTATTTATTTATTTGAAAGGCAGAGTTACAGAGAGGCAGAGGCAGGGTAGAAAGAGAGAGAAAAAGAGAAAGAAAGAAAGAAAGGTCTTCCATCTGTTGGTTTACTCCTTAAATGGCCACAATGGCCAGAGCTGGGCTGATCCAAAACCAGGAGCCAGGAGCTTCTTCCAGGTCTTCCATGTGGGTGCAGGGGTCTAAGTACATGGGCCATCTTTTACTGCTTTTCCAGGCCATAGCAGAGAGCTGGATGAGAAGTGAAGCAGCCAGGTGTTGAACCGGCGCCCATATTGGATAGGCAGCACTATGCCACAGCACCAACCCCAGGGAGATTAATAAGGCTGGTATCTTTAAAGTACAAAGTGATTTGGGGATGCAAAAAATTTCTTTGAATTGAGTTCAAAATGAAGTTTGTTGTTAACCTGTGTTCCTGAACTAAGAAACATGAATATATAGGCTAAGAGCTAGTTTCTCTCTTTTAAAAAAAAAAAAAAAAGATTTATTTTATTTATTATTTGAAAGGCAGAGTTACAGAGAGGCAAGGCAGAGAGAGAGCCAGGTCTTTCATCTGCTAGTTCACTCTCCAAGTGGCCGCAAAAGTTAGAGTTGGGCCAGTCTGAAGCCAGGAGCCAGGAGCTTCTTCCAGGTCTCCCACACGAGTGCAGGGGCCCAAGGACTTGGGCCATCTTCTACTGCTTTCCCAGGCCATAGCAGAGAGCTGGATCAGAAGTGGAGCAGTGGAACTGGCATCCATATGGGATGTCGGCACTCAGAGGGCAGCTTTATCCACTATGCCACAGTGCTGGCCCCAGTTTCTCTTTGTAAGTTAATAAATATTGTGAACATTAGAAAAAGGAAAGAAAGAGGGATGAGCATTTGGCACAGAAGTTAAGACGCCACTTGGAATGCCCATATCTGTATCAGAGTCTGGGTTGGAGTCACATCTCTGCTTTGATTCCAGCTTCCTGCTAATGCACATCCTGAGAGACAGCAGGTGAGGGTCTTAGTGCTTGAATCCGTGTCCTCCATGTGAGAGACCCACATTGAGTTGCTGGTTGGTGGCACCTGGCTTTGGCCTGACCCAGCCCAGTCTGTTGCCTGCATTTGGGGAGTGAATCAGCAGATAGAAGAGATCTCTGTCTCTGTCTCTCTCTCGCTCTGCCTTTAAAATAAATAAAATTTTTAAAAAAGAAAAGGAAAAGCTCAGTTCAATTAGGTACCTCTCACTAATTTTACACAATCTGGCTGACTCTTACTGAGTACCTACTTCTTCATACTAGAAAAAACAGTGGTTTGTAGGGGTCTGTAAGAGTGTGTGAAATGTAGTTTCTCTCTACTCTTAAGAAAAGTCTAGTAAAGGATATATACATGGGGCCGGCACCGCGGCTCACTAGGCTAATCCTCCGCCCTGCAGCGCCAGCACACCAGGTTCTAGTCCCGGTCGGGGCACCGGATTCTGTCCCAGTTGCCCCTCTTCCAGGCCAGCTCTCTGCTGTGGCCAGGGAAGGCAGTGGAGGATGGCCCAAGTGCTTGGGCCCTGCACCCCATGGGAGACCAGGATAAGTACCTGGCTCCTGCCATCGGATCAGCGTGGTGCGCCGACCGCAGCGCGCCGGCCGCGGCGGCCATTGGAGAGTGAACCAATGGCAAAGGAAGACCTTTCTCTCTGACTCTCTCTCTTACTGTCCACTCTGCCTGTCAAAAAAAAAAAAAAAAAAAGGATATATACATGGAGTTCAAAGCTGAATATAGTAACTGATATTTTTGAAAAGCATACACTGCTTTAAAAATGCAACATGCTGAGGGAAGTGTTTAGTCTAGCAGTTAAGTTATCTGCTTCTTCATTGGAGTGCCTGTGTTTGATTCTTAACTTTAGCTCCTGCCAGTGAAAGCCCTGGGAAGTAATGGTAATGGATCAAGTAACTGGGCTCCTGCCACCCACGTGGGAGATCTTGATTGTGTTTGCAGCTCCTGGCTCTGGCCATGGATGTTGTAGGCATAGATAGTGAACCAGCACATGGGGATCTCTCTCTCTCTCTCTCTCTCTCTTTTTCTCTCTCAGCCTCTTAAATAAATAAGAAATGAAATGTCATTAAAAATATATAGGAGTGGGTATTTGAATCAGCAGTTAAGACACTGCTTGGGGTACCTGCTTCCTGCATCAGAGTTCCTGGTTCAGTTCCTAGTTCCACTTCCAATTCTAACTTCTTACTAATGCGCACACTGAGAAGCAGCCGAAGATGGCACGAATACGTGGGTCTCTACCTGGGTTGAGTTCCCATGTCCTGGCTTCAGCCTGGCCCAGTCCTGGCTATTGTGGGCAGTTAGGGAATGAACCAGTAGATGGGAGATCTCTCTCTCTCTCTCCTGTCACTGATTTTCAAATAAAATGAAAATAAATACAACATGCTAACTATAAAACACATTGAGTTCCTAGCTCCTAGCTCCTAGCTCCCAGCTTCAGCCCTTTTTCACCACCCCAACCCATCCTCTTATCAACCATTGTAGGCATTTGAGGAGTGAACCAGCAAATAAGAGCTTTCTGTGTTTCTCTTCTACTTCTCAAATAAAATAATTTTTTAACAAGAGAACTATACATAAAAAGGGATTTTTGATATGCAGCAGACACTGATTCCATTTCATTAGTCTGTTGTAAAGAATTTGCTCTCATTGATTTTGACTCTAATGAGCATTAGTTGGGTTTGACTTTCTAAATAAATCCCAGACCCATTTATTGAAAACTATTTGGTAAGGATTTAACTTAACAATTTAACTTAATTCCAAGTTTATGATGGCATATAATATTGCAAAGCTGTCACTATACCCATGGCACTTCAGAGTTTAATCAAATCCTATAAGAGGGGCTATGTCATTTTTTACTTTTCTGTTGGATTGGCCAGAATCTCTCAGGTAGGAAGAAAATCTCAGAACTTACAGTTACTTAAGCGGCAGTACTGTTTGTTTTCCATTCAGAAATTTCAAGTGTCATTCAGCCAGTGAAATAAAATTTTGGAACTTTTATCTCCAATAAAAGTATTATAATAATTATATAATAATTATTATAATAATTTTATAATATTTATGTATTATAAAATGGGGCCAACATTGTGGCACAGCCAGTTAGCTGCTACCTGCAGTGCCAGTCTCCCGTATGAATGCTGATTTGACTCCTAGCTGCTCCACTTACAAACCAGCTCCTTGCTAGTATGGCTAGGAAAGCAGTGGAAGATGACCCAAGTGCTTGGACCCGCCACCCACGTGGGAGACGGGTGGAGTCCCGGGCTCCTGACTTAGGCCTGGCCCAACCCAAGCCATTGCAGCCATTTGGGGAGTGAACCAGCACTTTCACTTTCTTTGTCTTTCCTCTCTGTAACTCTGACTTTCAAATAAATAAATATAATACATCTTCTTTTTTTAAAGAAAGTATTTTAACTTTATGTCTTATTTAGGTTGCTTATGGGAGATGAACGTGTGAAGAATGGCCTTAATTTCATGTATGAGGCTCCACCAGGAGCTAAAAAAGGTACTTCTTCATTCCTTTTTTTTTTTCTTTGATATGATTGAAACTAAAGACAGAGAATGGCTATGACAGATAATTTTTAAAAGTGGCAGATATTATGTGATGATAAAAAATAGATATTGTAATAATAAAACAAGTACTAAGAAATTTTCTTTGATTTAGTAGCATTCATGTTGTTCAAGATGTTGAGAAAAAATATCAACATCAACAGTTCATTTATCTGAAACAATTTGAATATATTTCTCTAGTCCTTTTTAAAAAATACTTATAAAAAGAAAATAATGTTTATCAATTAAAGCATAAAAGTTTAAAAATTAGGAACTAATGTGTGTATTAAATACTATCTCTTATTTAGAATTGTGTTTTATTCTTTAGTGACTAAACTTTTGTGAAAGAAGAAAAAAACCAAATCAGTAAATTCTTAGAAGTTACAATTAAATGGCATGATATTATACTCTATAGATTTTTATATTGAAGTTTTTAACTTATCCTGTCTTTTTTCCCCTGTACTTTTGACATGCAATCAAGAAAACAAAGAGGTAAAGCACTGTTTCTGTTTGAATTTACTTGCAATTGATTGTGAATTTATAGAAAAATTGACAGAATTTTCTATGAATATTTGTAGAAAGAAGAAACAGAAGGAGAGACTGAATACAAATTTGAATGGCAGAAAGGAGCCCCTCGAGAAAAGTAAGGACTAGTTGATTTACTTATAAGATAAAAAATAGGTATTATTAAATTTATTGGCTATCACATCTTATGCTGTTTTTCATTCAGTAGAGAAAGTAGTGTGAAAATGTATTTTCAGTGACTTATCATATGCAACCAATCTACATGATGATAGCCCTTTGTTTTATATAGTTTATATTTTTAATCACAAATTATTGGACTAGACAATAACTAAATGATGTTTAGAAATACTAAATAAATTTTACAGTTTTATATACTCATGGAAGCAATAATATATTTCTTAGTATTCTTTGAATTATAAAACTAGTTTTCCGATTAGCTTCTATTTAATGAATTATTCCTAACATTATGTTTGTACATTTTCTCTACTTATAGATATGCCAAAGATGACATGAACATCCGAGATCAGCCCTTTGGTATTCAGGCAAGTGACACATACTCTATAAGAATAACTTTTATTTAGTAAATAAATATCTTTATAGTGTTGTCCAAAATATGGTTAAAAAGGCTGAAAAAGGATCCTATGGTTTGTACCAGATACTGTGAGAAATAGGGAAAAATATTAAATGTGGTAGACTAATAAAATATAATAATCAAACTTTTGTAGTCAGGATTATAATATTTGTCTCTGTATTTTTTTTATTTAAGATTTATGTATTTATTTGAAAGAGTAAAGAAGGAGAGAAAGAGAGAAATTGATCTTCCATCTATTGGTTCATTCTCCAAATGGCCACAACAGCCAGGGCTGGGTTAGATCAAAACCAAGAACCAGGAACTCCATTCAAGTCTCCCATATGGATGGCAGGGGCCCAAGCACTGGGAACATCATCCACTGCTTTACCAGGTGCATTAATGTAGCTGGATTGGAAGTGGAACAACTGGGGCTCCAACCAGAGCTCCAGTATGGGGTGCTGGTGTTTCAAGCAGCTGCTTAACCTGCTGCCCTGTCTCTATGGTTTTCAAAAAATTTGGAGACTTAGCTTAAGATCAAGAATAGATTTAAAACTATTACTTGTTTAGAACCAGGACATACTCTAACTGAAAGATCAAATTCTTGTAAAGAAAATTTTATTAGAACATCACCTTATGTAATCTTTTATATATTGTCTATGTCTGCTCTCCTACTGAAATAGCAGAATCAAGTAGTTGCAACAGAGATAACCACCTGGCCTGAAAAGCCTGAAGTGTTTACTATCCAGAAAGAAGCTCCTGGCTCCTGGCTTTGGATTGGTGCTTCTCCAACTGTTGTGGACATTTGGGGAGTGAATCAACAGATGAAAGATCTCTCTCTCTCTCTCTCTCTCTCTCTTTCTCTCTCTGTAACTCTGCCTTTCAAATAAATAAATAAATCTTTAAAGAATTTTTTTTTAATTCAAAACTTTAAAGGTTTAATGCATTCAAATTAGGCCATGATTTAATTATTTTTTGGTATTTTACCATTTCTTTTTGGGTGACTGTTACATTGTCACTAAACAAGAGGCCAAAAGAAAATGAATGTGGCATAGCTTTTGGGCAGAATTTATAGTAAAAGATGTTGGTGTCTGTATTAAATTATGAAACATAGTTATAGTTATACAGTCTCTTCCTCTGGAGGTCTTTTTTTTTTTTTTCCCCTCAATTATTTGAGAGGCAGAGAGAGAGAAAGAGAGAAAGAATGTGAGTATGCACACCTATCTGTTAGTTCACTATCCACATGCCCACAGTGGCTGAGGCTGAACCAAGCTGAAGCCAGAATCCAGAAACTCAATCCAGGTCTCCCACATGGTTGGCAGTGACTCAACTACTTATGCCATCACCTGCCGCCTCCCAGGGTCTGTATTAGCAGGAAGCTGGAATTGGGAACTAGAGCGAGGAATCAAACCCAGATACTCCAGTATGCGATGTGAGCATCCCAAATGGTGTCTTTAACTACTTAACCAAATACCTGCACCTGAAAATCTTTTAAAACTGTGAGTCATTTATTTTAAACTTTGCCAAGATATAGAATGTTGAACATTGGTCAAGTTCTTTGTATCTTAGTAAACAAAATTATGTTCACTATTTCTCAGGTTCGAAATGTGAGGTGCATTAAATGTCACAAGTGGGGTCATGTCAACACAGACCGAGAATGTCCTTTGTTCGGTCTTTCTGGAATCAACGCAAGTTCAGTTCCTACTGATGGTTCAGGTAGGCACCAGACATGATTTATTTGTTTTAGGATTTATATCCAGGACAAACAAGGAAAACTTAAATCATATTTTTCTTTAATCTCTCTGGATATTATTTTGTTTTGGTTTTTTGGACTGGGATATATTCTCAAGATATAATGCTCAGTAGGAAACTCTGATCATATGTGTTAAATTGGAAATGCTGTGTAATAAAATTAAGTTTAATTTTTGCAGCCAAAGTTCCTATGAACTTTTTAAAGTATGAGACATTAAAGACAGTTTTTTCATGGTAGTAGCCTAAAATTACAAGAAAGAAATTGTGATTTTTCATATTCATATGATCATGAATTATAAAAACCAGCTGGATGGAAAGCCTCAACTGTCATCTCTAGTTCAGAGATTAAAAACAAAGCTGAGCAAAAAAGGATATTAAATATGTTAAACTGGTTTTTATTTGAACGTTACTATCTTACATGTTACTGGCTACTCAAGAAAAATTGGTCTAATTTGAGTTGAATCATTTTGGTTCTTTTTATAAAAAGATATTAAAATAAGAAGTTTTAATTTGAATTTATCAGTGCCTTGTTAGTGTATTATTGAGACAGCCACACAAATCCAGCCCTAACTCATAGTAGATCATATTAGAAATAACCTGCTTAACACTGTTACTGTAAGCAAGTCATTTCACTTGTATGAACTTCAGCTCCTTGTTTTAAAATAATTGTGATAATACAACAGAGATTTTCAGTATTTTTAAGCTGTAGAACTTTTTTGTTTCAAGAAATCTTAAATGAAACACCAGTATATAGACATATGAAGACACTCAAGAAAATTTGTGGAAAATTGAACATTAAGTTAATTTGGTGCCAAAAAAAATGAAGTCCACACATAAGGGGATCTTTAAAAAGTTCATGGAAAATATTGAAAACTGCATAGATTTCAAAAACTTTTTTGCATCAAAATAAAATACCCTTGTAATTTCATTTTAACTTAAGGTTTCTTAAGTGCTCGCATATAAAAGCTGAGTTGCTCTGCTGAAGCAGAGCTCTAGGCCTGAAAACCCTTCCTCAGCCCAACAAGTCTCTGATGCATCTCTCTGGACTCCCCATGGCTCCTGCTGCCACCTGCATCCATGCCCAGGGTTTACTCTCAATCTGTATCATCTTCCAGTGTCCTGTAACCAGAGATCTTGCTTCCTGGCAGCAAGCCAGACTCAGGCCACAGGTCTCAAGATGCCAGTTCTCATATTAGGAGTTTAGGAATTGGATCCATTATTAAGTTTGACATCATGTGTTTAATGGGATTTATGGGAGAGAACCAGAATTGCTGGAAGAAGTATAAAGAGTATAAAATTATTTTTTTAAACATCCTTATTTTGCTAAAATAAGAAAACACCTTTTAAGTAGAAGGAAAACTGTTTGCTCAGTGATGAGACAACACTAGTACAGCCTTTGGTCTAGCAGGCTCTGATAAAAGAACATCCTGTTAATAACACATGACAGGTGCTCCCAGAAACCACATACACAATGCTCCCTCCTTGCCTACCCTTCTCCAGCTGGTGGAAAAAGGAGTAAAGGCCCCAAAGGAAATGGAATGGGGCAAATCATATAGCAAGAACCCCTTGGCTCAAATATTTATGACCACTTATTCCATTAATCAGAGATCTGTTACCTCTGAAAAGTATGTTGTTTTCTGGAAGTGATGTACATTTTTCATCTTCTCCTTCGTTGCAATCTTGCGATTTCTGTTCAACTGCAAAACTCATGGGACCAGGAAGAGTGATGGCTGCCCTTGTTCCCTGGCTTCATGGTACTCTGATTCCACTTCTCTGGGAATGAATAGGGTAGAATGTGGACTTAGTCCTTTGCTTTCTTTTTTTTTTTTTTTTTTTTTTTTGACAGGCAGAGTGGATAGTGAGAGAGAGAGATAGAGAGAGAAAGGTCTTCCTTTGCCGTTGGTTCACCCTCCAATGGCTGCCACGGCCGGCGCGCTGCGGCAGGCGCACTGCGCTGATCCAAAGGCAGGAGCCAGGTACTTCTCCTGGTCTCCCATGGGGTGCAGGGCCCAAGAACTTGGGCCATCCTCCACTGCACTCCCTGGCCACAGCAGAGAGCTGGCCTGAAAGAGGGGCAACCGGGACAGAATCCGGCACCCCGACCGGGACTAGAACCCCGTGTGCCGGCGCCGCTAGGTGGAGGATTAGCCTAGTGAGCCGCGGTGCCGGCCAGTCCTTTGCTTTCGTAATCAGTGGACCTGATTTCTGTGGAGTATGTTTTAGAAAGTCTACTGACATCAGCGAAAACAACTTGTTCTGTTTGGTTAAGCTACTTAAGAGTATTGAAAACAATACAACCCCATAGTAACATGCCCCCACAATTATGTGAGTTCAGATACAATGAAGGTGGCTATTGGCTCTTCTCCAGCACTCAGTTTATATTTATCAACCTTATAGTAACTAAATTACTCAGTGATACAATTGAGGTTTTTGGACCCCACATATGGTGGGGTTTTATAGTAGTACTGTTCTTCAGTCAAATGAGCTTTTTCAATATAAAGTGAAGTAGAAAAATGCTGACATTGTTGGCTCCTATCAAATTTCAACATTTGTAACCGACTTGAGAAGTTTGCATATTAGGGATTCTTTCTCTGTATCTAAATAAATTGAATTCTTGGGTGGGAGAGAGTAAAAAAACATTACCTTTATTGAACTACTGTGGTTTCTCTACATGGGTTTAATATCTCTAATACATAAAATGTTCCTTCTGGGGCCAGCGCCGCGGCTCACTAGGTTAATCCTCTGCCTTGCAGCGCTGGCACACCGGGTTCTAGTCCCGGTCGGGGTGCCGGATTCTGTCCCGGTTGCCCCTCTTCCAGGCCAGCTCTCTGCTGTGGCCTGGGAGTGCAGTGGAGGATGGCCCAAGTGCTTGGGCCCTGCACCCCATGGGAGACCAGGAGAAGCACCTGGCTCCTGCCATCGGATCAGCGTGGTGCGCCGGCTGCAGTGCACCGGCCATGGCGGCCATTGGAGGGTGAACCAACGGCAAAGGAAGACCTTTCTCTCTGTCTCTCTCTCTCACTGTCCACTCTGCCTGTGACAGTATCTCTTAAATACGCAGAATACTAGTCCCTTTCCTCATTCGTGAGAATGAAGAATAATCACTGCAAAGTGCAGAGTCACAGATGATTTACGAAAGGAGGAATTCAAGGAACCATTAAACATATGAGAATATTTTCAATAACACTGATAACCTAAGAAGTGAAAACAAGAATAATGCATTATCTTTTTGACTGTTAAATTTAGTAAAGATGTGAAAGAATGATATGTCCAATGTTCAAGGAAGTGTGGTAAAATGAACATTTTAATTCTCTTGATAAATTGGAGCAGTTTGTCTGAAGAGCCATTTGATTCATATCAAACTCCTGAAAAACATGCATGTTCTTTAAGCTAGAAATTCACTTTCTACTAAATTTATAAATGAAGTAAAAAGACAGTGCTCAGAGATTTATGTTAGTGAAAGGCAAGGAACTGGGAAAAAAGAGCATTTAGCATCTCAGGCAAAGGAATAGCCTTTCATGTCGAGGGCACCAGCCCTTCTGAGAGGCCGTGTAACTAGCTGTGTGGAGTGCAGGCAGTGCAGCATGGAGTTGCCTAGATGCGCGGGTTGGAATCCTTGCTCTGCTGCTTACCAGCTGTGTGACTTTAGGCAAGGTACTTAACTTCTCTGGCTTGGTTTGCTAATGTCTAAAACACAGATAGTATGATAGTACTTATCTCATAAGGCTGTTGTGAATGCTAAGTGAGTTAGTTTATGCAAAATGCTTGGAATAGTGCCCAACACACAGCATTTTCGGAAGTTTTTGAACTTTTTAAAATTAAGGTGCCTTCTACCGAAATGGAATATTGTATAGCCATATGACATACATATATGAATACAGCTGTAGATATGTATTGATATATAAGGATATATCAGAATTATCAAGTTAAAAGAAAAAAAAATGGGTAAGAAACACTATTGCTTAAAAGTATCGTAAGAGGGGCCAGTGTTGTGAAGCTGCGTATTGGACTGTTGGTTCGAGTCCCAGCTGCTCTGCTTCTGATCCAGCTCCCTGCCTAGTGCACCTGAGAATGCAGTAGAAGATGGTCCAAGTGCTCAGGTCCTGTCATCCATGTGGGAGACCTGGAAAGAGTTCAAGTGTGTAAAGGTAAACTGAAAAATGTTAGGCATTCAGTGATTACAGTTAAAATGGCCACCTACCTTTTATGGTAAAAGGATGACTCAGAATTAAGAACCCTATTTGAAAATTAATTCATAGAACTAAAGTTTCTTGTTTACTTTTTGAAATAATTATATTTGGCAACTATGTATTTGCTATCTTACACATTAGCCAGCAAGTTTAATTTTTTAATTTTATGTCCCAAGCTCATAGACACAGGCCCTACCCCTAGATTATAACTCAACCGGGAACAAAATAGCAGGGCCGAGAAATTGTGGCATAGTGGGTAAAGCTGCTGCCTGCTACAAGACAGTGGCATCCCATGGAGGTGCCAGTCAGTGTCCTGGCTGCTTCGCTTCCAATCCAGCACTGTTAATAACCTGGGAAAAACAACAGAAGGTGGACCAACTGTTTGGGCCTCTGCCACCTATGTGGAAAACCTGGAGGAGGCTCCTGGCTCCTGGCTTCGGCCTGGCCCCGCCCTGGCCCCGCCCTGGCTATTGTGGCCATCTGGGAAGTGAACCAGCAGATGGAAAATTTCTCTATATGTGTGTGTCTCTCTCTCCCTCTCTCTCTGTAATTCTTTCAAAGTAAATAAATAGATCTTTAAAATAAAATAAAAACCAAAATAGCTCCGAGTCTGGGCAAGGAAACAGAACTAGAGTATTATAAAAGAATATTTAATAGAGAATAACTATAGAATGTATTCAATTATGTAGTTAACAGAGGATGTGAGACTAAAATGACCTTTGCAGAATTAAAATTTAGGTTGACCAGAAGAGAAATATAAGAAGAAATACAAGC